CACCCCCACCCAAGGGGCCTCCACCTTCCAGCCCCAGGTCCCTTCCGCGGCTGCACAAGGACCTGTTGCCAACACCAAACCTACGGGCACAAAAAGGAAGCAGCCACAAAAATTCCAAGTTCAGATATTGTCCTCGTCACACCCGGACTATTCCGGGCCCGGCCTTCGGGCACAACGGTGGTGTCCTCTCTGGTCTCCCCAGCAGACACACCACACCCAGGAGGGACCAACAGGAGGCCGTGAAAAGCCAGCCCGGGTCGGGGGCAGGAGGTCGCAGCGGGGGAGCAGAGGTGGCACCAGTGCAGGAGGGGGCGGGAGGGCCAGTGTCTTGGGGACGCCGGCTCTGCACCGTTCCAGACCCTCCCCCAGGGCATAAGGGGCACCGGTCAGTCGACCCTCCAGATGTATGCAAGGGCCTTGGCAGCACTGAGGGGACTCGGGAGAGAGTACTCGCCAACCTTCCTGAACCCTGCCAGGTGCCACTCTCAGCTCTCAGCATCACCGCCGCTAGAGGCAGCCCTGCAGATGCATGGCACAAAACTGTGCCCCCCAAACCACAACACGAGGGGGCAGTGACTGCAAACTAGGCAACCTGTAGGGTCTGCAATGCCAGCTGGTCCAAAGCAGCCTGGGGCCCCTCACAGGGCCCAGGCTGCGGGCCAGAGATACTGGTACACTCAGGGCCCAGCTCGCGGGTCAGAGATGCTGGTACACACAGGGCCTAGCACACAGGTCAGAAGATGCTGTTATACACTCAGGACCCAGCACACGGGCCAGAGATGCTGGTACATGCAGGGCCCAGCTCCATCCTGTGCTCTGTGCCCCCGAGGTCCTTCCTGAGCTGAGCACCCTTTCCCGAGGGCATGTGGGTATGTCAAGGGTGTGAGAGGCTCAATGGACACCCTGCATCTCCAAGCAAGGTTACCCAAGAGAAGAAAAAGGCCAGCTGCCCAGAAGTGCTGCACAGAGGTGCCACTGGGTAGATACTGGGGGACGGGCACCCCATTTTCCTCTCTGCAGTGTTCCTTTTGATGCTTCTCACAGATGCTACAATTCTGAGTAAGCCCAGAAAAATATTCAACTGAGTTGGCTGCAAAGGCCACCTCAAGGTACTGTGCCTTCCCATTCACACGCACACACCCACAGAGGCGCACACAGGCACACACGCATGCATGCATCCACACACTCACACACTCATGCACTCACGCACTCACAGACATACTCACACACTCACACTCATGAATTTACACTCATGCACTCACACATTCACAGACTCACACACAGTTATACAAATACACTCACGCACTCACACACTTACGCACTCACACACACACACACACACACACTCACTCTTCATGGCTACACCCACACACGCGCACACAGACTCACGCGCTCACAGACATAGCCACACACTCACACATGCACTCGATTAAGAGCGGCCGGACCCTGCTTCCCAGGTGCTCAGACACGTCCGGCCCCCGTGTGCAGCAGGAGAAGGTTGCAGACCAGAGCCAGGCATACGCAGAGCCTAGCACACAGGTCAGAAGATGCCGTTATAGACTCAGGCACACGCTTACCCCAGAGAGTTCTCATCTGACTCTCCCAGGGGGGTGGCCCCATGGACAGGGCTCTGGGCTCTGACAGGAAGGGCAGGCTCCGTCCACGAGCACACGCAGCGTCCCACCGCACAGGGAGGCGCGGTGCCGGGCCATCACAGGGGCCTGGGAGAGCGAATGGACCACACTTGGGGCTGCAGCGGGAGAGAAACAAGGACACAAATGCCAGCCACCCCCCCCCACCCCCACCCAGCAGCACTTGCAGGTGGTGGGAAGGAACACCTGCAGAGCCGCATCCCGCCAGGACGCTCCAGGAGGCGGGTTTATGTGCCCTGGATGCCCTTTTCCTTTTCCTCTGGTTTGGCTTTTTCATTTGGGGGTCACACCCGGGACCCTCACACACAAAGCCTGTGCTCCAGCCCCTGAGCCATCTTCCTGGGCCCGGGGTTCACACACAGCATTGGAGTCACTGAGGGCCAGTGAGGTTCAACAGTCGTGGTACACTGCTCGGGTGAGCGCTGCTGGGGCCAGCGGGGCCACTCCCAGAGAGGACTTGAACAGTGCCCAGCAGCCCTCGGGGCCTCCTGGGCGGGGGGGGGGGGGGGGGGGGGCGCTCTCTCACCCTTCGCGCTCTCTCTGTGTGCCCAGGACATCACCTTCCTGAGTCCCGGGGGCTCCCTGAAACCACCCCAAATTTCCCTCCACCCTCTGGCCTCTCCAAAGTGCTTCTTTTCATTCTCTTGCATCACAAGAGGCTGGAGAGCACCAAGCTGAGAGGGCCATGCCATGCCCACCAGCCCACAGAAACACCCCACACCTCATTCTCACAGGAGCACAAGGAGGGGCGCCAGGGCAGACAAAGGCCCTCAAGTTCTGGCTGGGTTCTGAAGGTCCCTGGTGGGAGAACACCCAGTCCTGAAACTCGCTCCAGGGAACGCCAGGGTCCACCCCATGTGCCGGCAGGAGTGGGGACATGGGCAGTGCCGGGGATGGAGCTGGGTGACTGCATGAAGTGAGCGCCTTACCCTCTGGACTGTTATCTCTCCGGCCCTCACTGCCCAGAGCCCCTTGCTTTCCTGCCCTCCTTTCCCACCACCCCGGCCACCCAGGACCTCAACCACACAGTGGCCGGATAAACAGGCCCGTCCTGTCCCGCCGGGGCCCACAGAGCACGAAGAGGAGCCTGGCTCTGGCCATCGGCTTATGAGCTGGGCCCTGGGCCGTGACCACGTTCGGTCTGTACCCTGTGGGCCCCTGCCTAGCGCTGAGCGGGGCTGTCCAGCCAGGGTCTCACGGCGGAGGCGCAAGCCATGAGCCTGCAGGTGTCCTGACCGCTGATCTGTCATCAGTCTGGGTGGCTGAGTCCCGCACTGGACAGCCCCGCAGACGACAGCTGTGACCTCACTGTTGACCTGGGGCAGCCTGGACTTGGGCCAGGGTTAGAGGGCCCCAGGGGACAGGGTAACGCTGATGACACCCGTCCTGCCCCCCCAGCAGGCTGGAACATGGCGCCCATCAAGCTCACGGGCTACCCCCAAATCACGTTTTCTCCGCATTGATATTAAAATGAGCTTTCTTTCGAGATACTAAAGTGAAGTCAAATTATGATTCAACGTCGGCTGTTATATAAGCCACCAAGTGGTTCAACCCCATATGGATGGCGGGGAGCTGTCCCCCCTCCAGCCCGGCACCAGCTTCACATTTCATAACCGGCTGGCGGCTGGCAGGTCACTCCAACGCCCGTGCCTCAGCTTCCCCAGCTGCCGACTTGGGGGGACGGTGTGTGTGTGTGTGTGTGAGTAAATTCGAACCTCAGAAGACAAGTGTGGGGGTGCAGTGCCTCAAAAGGCGCAAAGACCGTACCCCCAGGGCGGGGACTTGGCATCCATTTAATAAGGCCACCCATGACCACAGCCCTTAGCGTGTCCAGTAAAAACTCTGGGACCCCTTGAATATTTCTAGGTCCTCCTTCTAAGCCCCTGCCGGCCCTTCAAGACCCCAGGGAGTCCCGAGCAGAGACCCCCACCCACATTCACGATGCTGCAAGAGAGAACTTGCTCTGCCTTGCTGGCACCAGCTGATGAACCCCATCCTTTCTGAGGTCACCCCACAAGGACCTGCCACAGCAGGGGGTGCTGGTGCAGAGGCAGAGCACTCTGAAAGTAAATGATCAACGGTCCAGCCTATCCGGGCTCCGGTGAGGATGTGGCCGGAACATACCCTCCACAACGCGGGCTTCTCTCTCTGCAGAACCCCTCCCCACACCCCTATAAGCAACCTCAATGTGGGCACCTCACGGTCTCTCACACACAGAAACTGCTCCCCCCATCCCCCGGCAGTCATTTTCAAAAGTTTGGACCCAAACTCACCCCTTCACTGGCCACGCCAAGAGGCAACCCCAAGTCCCTCTTCTGATGAAACTTCTTTGGAGAAAACCTCTTTTCACACCAGCAAAGAGAGAAAGGAGGGGGGCTCAGCAGCCTGGCTCCAAGAGCATACCTTGTCTGAGCAGCCTGGGTTCCATGCCAGGCAGAAAGGAAGTGTGGCCAAGGGGTGCCCAGTGGCGGGGGGAGGAGGGGCGCTGCAGGTTTGAAAGTGGGGGAGGAAAAGTGACTGGCGGCCAGGCCGCAGTGCAGGACGCGAGCGACCCTGGGAACCATGCAGATCTGGGGGTAGAGAGCAGAGCGAGGAGGGAACACCAGCAGGAGGGCGGGAGGGGAAGGTGAGCACACGTTTACCCGAGGAAACACCTCCTCTTCCCAGCCTAATCAACACCTCCAGAAACCCCCGCGGCCCCGGGTGCTGCAAGGCTCAGCCGGCAGACGCCGATGCACGCCGCATGCAGATCACACCGGAGGGACGCTGACTTGAACTTCAGATTCCAGGGGACCCGCCTGCCTCCTGCCTCCCGCTCCCGCTCAGCCTCCCGACCTTGGCGGGGCGAGCGGCGCTGCAAGCGCGAGCCCGGGGCGCAGGGCCAGCGCGCGCGGCGGCGGCGAGCGTAGGTGCCCGGGGCTGCGCGCGCCCCCCGGGGGAAGGGGACCCCCCGGCTCAGGTGAGGCCCGGCGCCCCGGCCCACGTGTCCCTCCCCACTGCGAGCTGGCCCGGTTGCCGGCTCGCGGGGGCCCCGGGGCGCGCAGATGTCAGCTCAGAGGCGCGGGCGGCTGCCCCCGTGACCGCGGCTCCGGCCAGCCCGCGCGGGGAGTCCACGCAGCCGGCCGGTCAACAGAGCCCCCCGCCCCGCGCAGCCCGCGTGGGAGCGACGAGGCAGCCGGGAGGCGCCCCCCAGCGCGCGTGGGCAGCCCGGAGTGTGCCCGTGCCCGCGCCCAGGGGGCAGCCGGAGCCGGGCTGGCCGGCGGGGGGCTCCATCCCCGGCCCCCGGCCCCCTCGGCCACCTCCATCCCGTCCACCCCGGTGTGTGTGTGTGGAGGAGGGGGCACTTACGTTCCCAGGGTCTCCTTGAACTCGAAGATCTTCTTGATGTCCTCGGCTTGCTTCTTCCAGGACGCGCTGCTCTCGCCGTTCTCCCGGGCCATTGCAGCGGGGGGCGCGCGGGGCCGGGGGCGCACGGGCGGCGGGTGCGGGGCGCGGGGCGCGGGGGGCGCTGCCTCGCCCGCAGTTTCCTCTTTCGCTCTCGCCGCCGGCCCTGCCCGGCTCCGATGTGGGCTCGGCTCGGGCACGCAGACTTCCTGCCGCCGCTGCCAGCCTCACTTTCTGCTACTTTCTGGGCCTCCCTTCGCCGCGCTCCGCCGCCCGCCCCGCGTCCTCCCCCTCCTCCCCCTCGTCCCCTCCTCCCCCTCCTCCTCCTCCACCTCCTCCTCCTCCTCCTCCTCCGCCCGCGGGCTCCCCGCCCTCCCCGCCTCCCGCGCGCCGCCGCCCTCGGGGATGTCCTGCTGCCCGGGCCGCGGGGGCACCGCGCGGGGCCACCGGGCCACGCTCCCGGCCGCCGCCACGCGCGCGCGCGCCCCGAGCCGCGGCCGAGGCAGGTGCGGCGCGGGCAGGTGCGGGGTGCGGGGCGCGTGCGCGCAGGCGCGCCCCGAGGTTCCCCCCCAGGCGCGGCCCCTTCGGGTGAATCCGGCCGAGGGTTTTCCTCCCCGGCGGCGAGAGGGGGCGCCGGAGCCAGGCGCCCGGATGCGGGGTGCGGGCGGGGGCGCCTTCCCCGCGGGCCCGGCCTGCGGCCCGAGCATCCCGGCGCGCCAGGCGGGGGCCGTTGTCATGGCGACCGGAGGCGGCGGGGATGCGGGCGCAGGTGGGCGTCGACTCGAGCCCGGCGGCCGGCGGCTGGCGCTGGGCGGGCGCTCCCGGCTCGGCTCGGCGGCGGCGGCGGCGGCGGGCGCCGGTTCGCATTGCACCAAAATCGGCTCTGGCTCGCGTCGGTCTCTGGCCGCGGCGAGGAGGCGGCCTGGCAGCCTCGGACACCGGACGCGCAGACGTGCCAAGTCGCTGCTGTCCGCTCTCCCTCGGGGACCTGACCCCGCCGGGGTGCTTGCTTGGGCGCCCGTGGGTTCGGACGGCGCTTGGCACAGGCTCCGGCGATCCTGCGCTCCCGCTGGACTCCCGCTGCCCGCCCTGCGGCCTCTGGCAGGTGCCCCGCACCCTCCTTACCCTAGCCCGTCAGCCTGGTAGGGTCCCCAGGAGGGGCGCATACCTGGCAGCGCCCCTTACTAGAGCCGGTGAGAGACACGCGAGAGTTCCCCTCTGGCCTCATGGCTGCCCCTGCACACTGGACGCCCTGCCTGTACCCATCCTTCAGAGAGCAGTGCACCAGCGGTCCCCCACCTGCAGGGTTCGGAAAGTTGCCCACTTGCTTAGGCCTCCTCAGCTGAGTTGGGTAAAGAGCCTGTCTGTTTTTGCTTGGTGACATGTCCCATTTTCCCAGGGCTGTTCAGCGCCACAGCACCTGAACCCTAAGCCGAGTCCTCACCTCTTCCCTGACCCCAAGCAGCCAGGGGAACCTGATGACCCTCCCCAACCTCCTGGCTGTACCCGAGACTCTGGACACCAGCACTCCAGGCTGAGTGGAGCAGAGTGTTTTACTCAGCTCTTAGAAACCCACCTCCCAAGATGGACCGCTCAGAGCCTCCCGCAAAGTGCAAAGTGCAAAGCAGACAGCACCCCATTCTGTAATATATTTGTTGCCAAAAGTGCAAAGCAAGCAGCACCGAACTCTATAATCTATTTGAGGCAGGAGAGGGTAGGACAAATTTGGCTTGCACCCAAGCAACCTTGATTCAGTCCCCCAACAACCCATCTGATCCCCCAAGTCTGCCAGGTGAGATCCTGAACACAGAGCCAGGAGTAGGCCCTGAGCACCACCAAACGTGGTCCCAAATGAATGCATGTGTGTGCATGTGCACATATATTTGCACGTGTGAGCCCCTCACCACCACCCCACCACCCGCTAAAGTACCAAAGCACAAGCACAGCCCAAGCATGGTCCCCCCCCCCCCACACACACACACACACACACTTCCTGGTCCCCAAGCACTGCCCGACAGGGCGCGAACTAAACCTTCAGGCCTCCACACTGCTGACAATGGCCTCAATCTTTAAACAACAGAAACATATTGGAAGCACTACAGAAGGCCAGGTGACACGAAGCTAGGGCCCACTCTCCCGGCACCCCCTCCCTTCCTTTTGCTTCTCTCTCCTCCTCCCCTTCCTCCCACCCCTCTCCTCCTGCTCTGCCCAGAGTTTCCTCAATTCTGTGTCCTCACATTAAAGTTCCGCTACCAGACTCAGCACGCCCGTTTTCCAGCTCAGCTTCTGCCCCCAAATTGAAGAAGTGCTCGCAGTGGTTTTCTAAGAGCTGGAAGGGGTGAAAAGACAGGGAGACAGGGCGGAAGTCCTGGAGGTCCTGCATCCCAGCACGTTGCAGTCATTGGCTTGCGGCCCCTGCTCTCAAAAGAAACGCAACAGAATTAAACGGTTCTTTGATTCTTGCGGCCTGGGCAGGAGCACTGTAAGGAGTCGGCTTTCTCTTCCAAACCGCTGGCAGTGGTGTTCATTCGGTGTTACTCAACTTTAACAACTTATCCCCAGCTGGACCTGGCCCTGGAGAAAAGATGCAAAACATTTCATGAGGAATTAAGAAGAAATGGGCCCTGTAGCCCCCGGGAGGAGGTGGGAGCACCAGAGACCCGCTCTGTCCAGCAGAAGGAAGTTTGCTCCTCCTGGACAGGATTCTGTGCAGAATAAAAGACCCCTGTCCTGAAATCACAGGGGTTGCCCCACTCCGGAAACTGCCCATGGAGGGCACAGCACATGGCTCCCTAAGCATGACTCAGCTTCCGGCTGAAAGTGGCCCGCTTCAATTCTATTCACTTGGAAGACCTTGTTGGACACTTCCCCCAAAACTGACTCCTGGCTGCCATTCTTGGGGCGATGGCCATTCCCCCACACCCATTTTTGAGCTCTCAGTCAGAAGCTGCCTGCTCCCCTGCACTTCTGCTCCTGACAGCTCCGCCAGATACTCTGGGCTACTCAAGTTTAGAAGTCAAGTGTTAACATTTCCTGAAAGCCCAAAGATTTTCCTTACAAAGTCCAAAGGTACTTTTAAAACCCATCGGGGGAGCTAGAGCGATAGCACAGTAGGATGAGCATCTGCCTTGCACGTGACTGACCCGGCCTCAATCCCTGACATCCCATATGGTCCCCTGAGCACCACCAGAAATAATTCCTGACTGCAGAGCTAGGAGTAACCCCTGAGCAATGCTGGGTGTGACCCCTACCCACCTCAGAAAAAGGAAAAAAAGCGTCAGGAAAGAGTTAATTCTTTCAACAGTCATCAAACATTCCTCCAACCAACCCACCTGCTGATCCTTCATCAGGTTCCCTTGGCCCAGACTCAGCACCAGGCAGATGGTGTGGGAGAAACAAACAATATCTTAAGCAATGCATAGATTAGATTTGAAATTCTCTGAGTTACCTCTCTTCAGCCTTGAATGCTTAAAGAGATAAACCAAGAAGGCAAGCTGGGTTAGTAGAAAGAACTCAGAGTCCAGAAGTGAAACAAAAGAAGAAAGAGAAGAGTGGGAGAAGTCAAATGGAAACGAACAAAAGGCAGCTAGAAGATGATATGAAAGACAATGATGTTCAGTAGATGCATAAATGTTTTTCCTTCTGCATAATGGGGCAAATATATTATAAAATAATAGGACAAAAATATTCCAAGATATTATGCAAGAAAATTTTCCTCAAATGAAGACTACATACTGAAGGGATATGCCTTATACCCCAAAATATATCAATTTATAATAATACTGATTTTTTTCTTTCCTAGTACAGGGGATATATCCTTCTCTTGCAGGAAGATATTTCCTTCTCTTGCAGCTGATCCTGGTTCAGTCTCTGGTGCCATCTAATATCCCCCAAGCACCACCAGAAGTAACCCTTGGGCACTGTAAAATCTGGACCAGAAACCCAAACAGGAATTTCATGAATGATCAATATGGATCCCAGTGGGAGTACTTATCACCAAAGAAAAGAACCTTTTGGATTTATTAGGGAAAAAAAAATCATGTGTATTGGAGGTTGGGGGGTGGAGGGGTGGAGAAATGTTTCAACTGGTTACAAACTTTTGTAGCCCAGCCAAAGATCAAAAATGTTGATCAGGTCCCCAAGGGGAGAAACTGCCAGGTAACCATTTTCTCACCGTTAACATTTGAGAAACTGGTATCATTGAGCAGGCCCTGTTCTAATTCTTTACCCGTATTTTTTGGTAGAAAACACCTCTATTCCCTTTTAGAGGGGAAGAGGACACGCCTTGGGGAGCAGCATGAGCAGGCGACATGGCAGAAGGAAGGCCCGAGCAGCCTGCACACCCCTGCCACCATCCCCAGCCCGGCTCACTTAGACCTGGGGCCCGGCAAGTTACAGGAAGCCGTGGTAAGCAGGCAGACCGACCCAAGGCCACCCTTGTGTGAAATCCCCTTAGTGTCTGTTCCTGGGGGCTGCCCAGGCTTGGTGCCGGCGGCCCGTGTGGTATCCTAGCTGGCACTCGGCCTGCAGTGTACAGCGCATGCCTTCAGCCCATAGAGCCATCTCCTCGGCCGGCATCATCTTTCCAATAAAAGGTAGCAGTTGGGGGTGGGATTGATGCTCAGAACTGAAGTGGGAATCCAACAACTGCTAAGCGTTCACACGGTCTGGTGTTTTTAGGTTTTGTTTTCTGGGACCCCCCCCCCGCAAATGAGCACAGCCCTTGAAACTCTCCTTGGTGTCCCCTACCTGACCGCTCCCCCACCAGCCCAGGCCTGAAACCCGCCAAGGCCCTTTTCTGACATTCACCCTTATCTGGCTGATAGTGAAACTATGGGCGAGTCGGTTCACGTTAGCATCGAGAGTTTGTTGTTCACATAAGGAAGTGCATGTGGGGATGTGCACAGGGACATTCGGAAAAGCAAGGACAGTGCGGCAAGGTGCTGGGTCTTCTGTGGGGATCCAGGGCTAGAAATAAACTGAGGCCAAGCAATAATGCAATGGGTTGGGCACTTGCCCTGCACACAGCGAACCTGGTTCAGTCTCCAGCATCACCAAGGCTCCCCTGAGCACCACCTGGAGTGATCCCCAAATGGAGAGCCAGGAGTAAGCCCTGAGCACTGCCAGGTGTGGCCCAAAAAAAAAACAAACCAATGGGACTGATTGTCTGCCCATAGACACCAGCAGGTTGTGGCTATTGACTCTTGAACTTTCCCATGTATCCAACCCCCTTGCGGGGGAGCTCTCCGCTGCCATGTTTATGAGGATACTGTTTGCATCAGCAACGCCAGC